AGCTCCACTCCTCCCAGCATGGACTCCAGTTCTAGCTCCACTCCTCCCAGCACGGACTCCAGTTCTAGCTCCACTTCTCCCAGCATGGACTCCAGTTCTAGCTCCACTCCTCCCAGCATGGACTCCAGTTCTAGCTCCACTCCTCCCAGCACGGACTCCAGTTCTAGCTCCACTCCTCCCAGCATTGACTCCAGTTCGTCGGAAGATTCGGGATCTGAAGTACGCATATAATAAGGCGACCGACAACAACAAGAAGAGTGGCAGAGGAAGAAAAACATGTCCGTTCTTCGATGAGATGAACTTGTTCCTGGGCTCCAGAGAGGCTCCCAGCACGGACTCCAGTTCTAGCTCCACTTCTCCCAGCACGGACTCCAGTTCTAGCTCCACTCCTCCCAGCATTGACTCCAGTTCTAGCTCCACTTCTCCCAGCACGGACTCCAGTTCTAGCTCCACTCCTCCCAGCACGGACTCCAGTTCTAGCTACACTCCTTCCAGCACGGACTCCAGTTCTAGCTCCACTCCTCCCAGCACGGACTCCAGTTCTAGCTCCACTCCTCCCAACACCGACTCCAGTTCTAGCTCCGCTCCCCCCAACACCGACTCAAGAGCAGCCTCTGTCAACACCAACAGTCTGCCTTTTTATGACCATTATGACTTTTCAAACAACAACTTCACAGAGATGATGGACGCCTACATAAATACAACAACAATAACAAAAGCAGAACAGCTCATCATAGAACAGCAAACAAGAGGACAGTCTTCCAGTCCCATGTGGATGGAAACACGAAAGACAAAACTGACAGCTTCCAACTTCAAGGCTGCCATTTCGTGTTCAGTAGAGCCCTCCAACAAAATAAGAGCCATGCTGTACAACAGCTTCTCTACTGCAGCCACTGAATATGGCAACAATAATGAGGCTGCTGCAGTAGAGGAGTTTGTTAATGGCATACAAGAAGAATTTCCCGGGGCCTGCTGTGAAGAGGTTGGCCTGATCCTTTCAATGGAGCGACCCTGGCTGGAAGCGTCAGTGGACAGAATAGTAAGAAAAGATGGGCAAACCATAGGCGGCCTGGAGGTGAAATGTCCTCTGTCAAAACTGGGCATGTCAGTAGAAGATGCCAGCCAGGACAGTAAATTCTTCCTGAAGAAAGTGGACGGGTCTGTGAGACTGAAGACAACTCACAAATATCACGACCAGGTACAGGGGCAGTTCTGCTGCTGCGAGTTGTTTCTAGATTGTGACTTGAACAAAAGTCATGTTGAGTAACACCGGCCCTTTTTAGGGCCACTGAAATCCTAGAGTTCTATTTAAATTCAGTAAAACTTTAAGTACAAGTTGTTTCTAGATTGTGACTTGAACAAAAGTCATGTTGAATAACACCGGCCCTTTTCAGGGCCACTGAAATCCTAGAGTTCTATTTAAACTCAGTAAAACTTTAAGTACAAGTTGTTTCTAGATTTTGTGCGTTCTATTGTCACAGCAAGCCCATGCATGCATCACGGTGCTTGTTGGGACGGAGCTGAGCAGAATTCGTTCTCCATGTGGTCTGTGATCTGAGTCTGTGATTTATGATTTTTGTGTAGCTTCCTGACATGTCATGCCGTTTTGTCACATGTCTTTGTTCTATACGTGGCCGAATATTTTTATACACAAGGATTGTGCTTGTACTCTCAGTGTCCCAGTCCAGTCCAGGGTAACCTGTTGCATGATCTAAGGTATACTAAGTGTATACTATGTCTAGGCACTGAAGCTTCTTTAAAACGGCTTTAGTGTAGGTAAGTGACATGATTTCCATGTAAGTATGTACATCATATACAAAAATGCTGACAGAGGAATCAAATTTTGATGCTGTCAATAATTGTATTACACAATATATGTTCAGATTTTTTGTCATTTTCAATCAGCATGATAATACAAGGCAAGGATAAGATGTGACTGAGACTTACATTGTTTAATCTTTATCTAAGTGTGCATTGTGTAGTACTTACGTTCTTTAAAAACCCTTGTAGTGCAGCTCCCTACAAATGTAGGGAAGCACATATAGTTCCATTCCTATTACTGTATGATGATTTGGGGGTATTTCTCGTGGAACGCATCACACTGCAGCGAAACGCAACGAATGCGGAAGTAATTATGCCATCGCAGGGCAAAAAAAAGTCATGGGTTTATGAAGCGAACACTTTTAGGTAACGTACCTATTACAATTAAACATCATGCATTTTTCTGCAAAATTAATTGAACTGAATCAAACTTTATGTGTACCATTTCAGATGCATTGTTGAAAAGACAAATTGCCTTAGGATTCAAATTAAGGGTACATAGGATTGCTAGTCATTTTTAGATATCAAACAGATGATATTTTTTGTGCATGATCACAAAGTGGAACAAGTATAGTCTAGCAACACAGTAAATAAGTAACACTACTTTGTAAACATTTACATGTTTATGTATACTTATCATATTCCTGCATTCTCTATCAACCGCTACAGAGAGGCTGAGTACAACTGACATGGAGGAAATAGAGGAGATGGAGAACAGGTTGTACGAGATAGAGCAGCTCATAGGTAAAAGAAAAAAGAAGGGCAAAGTGGAATACCTGGTGCACTTGAAAGGGTATAGCACAGATGAAAGCTCATGGCAGCTGGCTTCAAGTTTGAAGGAAGAACTAGGGGGGCCTTGCTTCCGCCAGCTATCCAAAAACATCTAATCTGACATATGACCTTACATTTATATGTGTATTTTATTCCTCACTTACAGGAAGAACAGGTCCCTCCGCCATAGACCATGCCAGCCGCCTGTGGCCAAGGCTTCACACGGAACATCCGGCCATGGCCCAGAAATTCAATGACATGGCCAAGCTGTACAAAGTGACAAAACCAAATGTCAACAGTTAGTCAATCCTTTTTACTAACTTAACGGCAGAGGTGATGAAATTTTGTCTTCCTTGCATTATGATAATTTCTTATTAAACTCCTTTTTCCACATTGCCATAACACCCGATACATCCTCCATTATCAGTACATACTGTAAAATGTGGATGACCATTATGCCGTAGTTACGGAGATGGTGGACGCCTTCTTTCTCTTAGGAGACAACATTAGTAGTAAGTACGAGCTGGAAGAGATAGCGCACAAGGCTTAGTGATATGTTGATAATCAGGTTTGTTCTCCTTGGGGTCATGGGTTACCAGGCTGTGTCATGACCTCTGCGACTGACCAGGAAGCCATGAGAAAAGAAGTAAGAAACATGCTGAACAAGAAATATAATAGGTCATGTATTTTTCCCATGAGAGCCTTATACCAGACAGTAAGCTGGTACATGTATGTCGTCTTGTTTTTTTCCGACTTTGATACATTAAACAGCAAGAAGACTGTATACCCAGTCTGGAATGTTGATGTGCAATTCTTATTTGAAAATCAAGTATTAATAGTATGCTGTATTACAATGTGTATTTGCCTGACTGTATTACATCTGGATGTGTTATTTAGGTGGTCTAAAAAGCTTGCAATCATTCTGATCAAAGAGGTAGTACTAAATGAAATGAACTTTATTGACAAAGGGAAGTACAAGACTCTGTAAGGTCTCTACCACTATAAACACAGATACAAACTTTTATATATGTACATATGAGTGGCATCAGATCAAGTCAAACATTTCTGCTTCCTTTACCTTAATGACTCATTTCCAAAGGGCAAATAATCCAACTTGCATCTCCTCATAGCTATACACTTTCCTTCCTTTGTTTTTAATAATAGTCTTCTTTCATTGACCCACAATTAAAAGAAGCTTTATAACAAACAGTGCTTCATTTTCAGAGGCCGTGACAAAAAAAAAGAGATTTCCTTACAAATCATATACTGCGGGGAATGGGGGAGTGACAGTACATGGTCTTCCTGAAGACATCAGCATAGCCCACATTGCTTCTCTGGGGAAGAAGTCCCTTCAGGACATCCTGGATGGGAAAGACAGGATTACAATGGAAGGTAAGTTCCCAAGGGCAATATGCAATGTCTTCATCTGCAAAATACTGCATGCTCTTATCAAACTGTATAGTGTATAGTAGCTAAACTAATGCTTAGCTACTAGGGATCTACAGTTTATCACATGACTTCCCCTGTTACTCAGGAAAGTTGTCTTTGTTCAAAATTGCACAACCAGTAAAATTGACCCTTAACTATAGGTTGACTCCATAATGGTGGACAATGCTCATTGCTACCCCAGAAGTTTAGGACACCCTAAATGATAAAATATCGGTAAATTTGACCGAAGAACCCTGGAAAAGGGGTGTAAAAACCCTGATTTTGAAAATTAACAGGACGGAGCTGAGATAAGGACTGGGTGGAACAGTACCACTGCATAGGCATTGGTCGCTTGGGGGGATGAAGGATACAAATCAGCAAACAAAATAAATGAGAAAGGTATCAAATCTTGAATACAGATCAACATGAGATAAACAACACAGCAGCAGGATGTAAACACATACAATGTATGTTATAGGTATAATTGGTGTCTCCTTTTAGTCCAGGCTTGATGAATAAGATGGTCAGTGTATTATGTCATACATGGGCCACTATATGTGCGACGACTTGTGTCTCTTCTCTTAGACTCGGTTGTCGTGCCCCTACCTCTTGGTAGTAATCCAATAACGTGACTCCAAGCTAGAATACTTGAATCGGCTTGGTTTATTCTCAAGTCACCAACTCAGACTCTCTGTCTGGCTCGTCTCTCGCTACGCATGCGTGTTATTCTTTATGTTAAGTAAGCTGCTTAAACATTACCACATGTTACATCCCCTTTTCTTTAGTTACATTCTCTCAACGGATCTTTTCCGATCTTACACATTCACATATCTTTTGCCTTAGAGTTCTTTGGCATGTCAGTTCTTATGCACACTAGAGTCCTTGTGCTTTCTGGTCTTCTCCAGGTTCTCTTCCTGTTAGTTCATTAGTTTGTTAGTTCAGTCCTCGAGTTCTACTTCGAAATTGCATGCATTACATAATCACTCGCGGACGTAATCCTTCAGGTGCGCTGGCGGTTTCACAGCTCGACCGGACCTCGTTGTCATCTGTTGTCCAGCTGTGTGTTGCACTGGCACTGCTGTCTCGGCTGCTGCTGTTGTTGTTGCCGTTGCTGTCGTGGTCGTTGCTGGACCTGGAGAGTTGTTTTCTTCCTCCATGACGTCCATGTTTGGCGCCATTTCTCTCGTGTGACGCAGATGCCTTCTGTTTCGACGGTATCTGCCGCCATCTTCTGTCTGCACTTCGTACGATCTCTTCCCATGTTCTGCCACAACGGTTCCTTGTTTCCAATATTTGATGGCTGGGGTGAGCGGCTGGCATCTCACGGTGTCTCCAACTTGGAGATTGGGCAAGTCTCTTGCCTGTCTGTTGTAGTATTTACGCTGTCGCTCCTTCTCATTCTGGAGCTTTCTTGGGATCTCACTAGGCACTTCTGGCTCTAGTAAGGCTCTTCTCACTGGCATTGTTGTGTTGGTTCTTCTGTTGAACAGCCGTTGTGCTGGGCTGCTCCCAACACCTTGCGTTGGCATGTTCGTGAGATCTAGCAAGGCTAGATACGGATCGGTCTTTCCTCTGAATGCTTTCTCCATCAGCTGCTTGGCTGTCTTGACTGCATTCTCTGCTTTTCCATTACTATGTGGATAGCCTGGCGAGGATGTTTGGTGTTTGAAGTTCCATTCTCTGGCAAACTTCTCAAACTCTTCAGCTGTGAATTGTGGTCCATTATCGCTGATAACCACATCTGGGATACCGTGCCTTGCGAACTGTGCCTTGAGCTTCTTGACTACAGTCGCAGCTCGTGTGTTCTCACACCTGTCAATCTCGAAGTAATTCGAGTAATAGTCCACAGTGATCAGGTACTCCCTCTGCTGGAACGTGAACAAATCTGTTGAAGCAGTTGCGGAAGCAAACCGAACTGTAGAGCAAATCGTCGCAGCATTTGAGACATACTGCAATCCAAAGAAGAGCGAGACAGTAGAAAGATACAAATTCTTCACGAGATCACAGAGCAATGGTGAGACTTTTGATGAATACATCACAGACCTGAAGACACTCGCGGCAGAGTGTGGGTTTGGTGAGATTAGAGAGTCTCTGATTCGAGACAGAATACTCATCGGCATTTTGGACGGAAAGGTTCGCGAACGACTCCTGCGGGAGAGCAACCTAAGCCTTGAGAAATGCGCAGAGATCTGCCGAGCCGCAGAAGTCTCCAAGCAGAGCATCCAGACGATGGAGCAGGCCACAGTGCACGTGGTAAAGAAGAAGCCACAAGCAGATCCGCAGGCCAGTAGGATATCAGTCTGCAAATACTGCGCCAAGAAACACACAGCCAACAAGGAAGCATGTCCTGCGTATGGAAAGGAATGCGCCTCCTGCGGCAAGCGAAACCACTTCGCGAGAGCATGCCGGAGTTGAGAAACGAAGCAGCCTAGAAGCGGCAGAAACCAGGCACAAGGTAGAAAGAAGCCCTTGGTGCACATGCTGCAAGAAGAAGCAGTGATGACAGTCACAGAAGAAGAGAAAACATACAGCATGACCCATACAAAGACAGTTGGAACGTGACCATCTGACCTGCCAGGTTCATTCTTGCATGAACCTGGCAGGTCAGATGGTCACGTTCCAACTGGATTTAGGAGCCACGTGCAATGTAATGCCAGAACAGGTTCTGCATAAGCACAACATCCAGCACAAAGTAACGGGACCAAAGCGAGTACTGAAAATGTACAACAACACAGAAATCATCTCTGAAGGAGAAACAGTCATCAAGATGACTAATCCGAAGACCGGACAGAAATACAAGGTGAACTTTGTTGTCATCAACTCGAACAGCATGCCGCTGTTAGGAGCAAATGCAATCCAGCAGATTGGTGCGGCTACTGTCCACTATGACAGAATCTCAGCACTTGACAACAGCGAGCTCAAACCGATGGCAGACACGGTCAGCAAGCCAACAACTAAGAAGAGTCTGTTAGAAGAGTACCCAGACGTCTTCTCTGGTTTGGGAAGACTGCCAGGAAAATGCCATCTTGAAGTTGATGAGTCAGTCAAGCCAGTTGTGCATCCGCCGAGAAGAGTGCCAGTGGCGATGAAGGAACAACTAAAGAAGGAACTGGACAAGATGTTACAATATGTAACTCTAAATATGCTCTGAAGGGTGACGCAAAGGATGATGGGATTTAAGGTCCAGACCATTTTAGAATTGGGGTCCATCACATCCAATTATAGTCAATGTACCCAAGATAAGGACTGAGTACCTAAACGTAACATCAGGTACAGGTACCAGTTCAGGTACCACCTGTACCTGATGAATTTGAGAAATTAACATGTGTTCTTCTGAAGTTCTTCAATAACATTTAACACAGGGTTAGACAAGTCCTCTTTCCCACTTGCCCAGGGCACTGTTTGGGCAAGTGCATATCCTCCTGAACTGGCAAGTAATTTTTTTTTTTTATATGCTGGCATTATGCCCCAGTATAGCTGTGTTTGATTATTCATTTTCCTCATAAAGGTATTATATTGATGCCAGTGAAGCCATAGATTAAGTATGTAACATAAACATAAACATTTCTTACTGAAAAGTAAAACAATTCCCTTGTTGCAAGTAAAAATGCATGGAAAAAAACGTCATTTATTTCTACATTTTGGGCAAGTGAAAAGTTGTTTCGGGCAAGTGGAAATGACTAATATGAACTTTTTGAAAACTTGTCCAACCCTGTAACAGTTTATCAACCTTTATTCAAATAAAAGACAGAACTAGGTGACCCAATGCCTTTTTCAAAATAAACTGAACCATGTGGACTATTTCTGGTTGCATACTATACACTAGCTGTCCCTAAAAGATCTTTTGTGTATTAGATATGCTCCCTCCAGATGTCACTTTGGTCATCTGTGGTGCACAATGGGGTAGCATTTATTCCGGTATTTATCAGTACTCAGTGATTTGGTATTTTGGACCTGTACCTAATCAATTTTCGTGGTACTGTACTGTACTGGTACACACAGTAGGCAGCCCTACTCAGGATGGCACATCCTTCTACAATTAGCATCTGTAGCAATGTGTTTTAGAAGACATTTTGAGGGGCCAAAACTGTACTCTGGCTGACCAACTCCCCTGGCATGTTATCTGTCTATTTGGCCAATTTCTACTCATTCCAGCTGCTACCCCAAGCCTGGTAGAGGCTACTATCTCCATTTGTTGCTTGGTCTTTGTTCTTCGGAGCTTGTGACTCAAAACATATGTCAAAATATCCATGCTGGTCTTCTCATCAATTTCAAAGTTAACTGGTAAAAAAAAGGACAACCGTTACTAATAGCAAAACGTTTTGTAAAGTTCTGTATACCGTCCCATGTCTAAAGCGGGCCTATGTGTAGTTCTGCTGCGTTCTTTAAATCTGCATAGAACAGAAAGCTGACAATTTAGCACAAGCAATTGTAATGGTGAGGTCAAGGAACTATGACCTCATTTAATAGTGAGATAACATTACTCGAGATAACATACACCCAGCCACTGTATGATATCCTGACTAAACCTTGGAGGGGGGGGGGGTATTGTCAGGCTGGCCAGATTTAGTCAGGCTGAATATTCACCAAATTTCGAACGTTACCTTTGTGAATAATCTACATTGTAAAACACCGGAACCCTTTACCAAGGAAACCACTGGCACAATAGCGTCGATGGAGATTACATCGCGCCATTTGAAGTGTAAGGCCTGCAGGACAAAGATACCGGAATCCTCAACATCTATGGTAACATGTGCATCGTGTCACAAGTCCCAACTATCTCGAAGATGTGAAAAGACATTGTTGTGAAACTACAAATTGAAGATGAAGACCATAGCATGCTTCGCAGACACCATATCAAAAATAGTCAATGATCCATTGAGCATGTCTGATGAAAACCTCATTGAAAATGTACTAGAGGCAGGAGAAGACATTACATGTTGTTACAATCCAGCCACAAGCATTTGCACAGATATCCACCTAAACTAGATGCTCACACTTGTTTGAATATTACAGATAACCTGCCTCATAATCCTTGACTAGCCTTTGGACAAAGTTAACTTACTTTTGATGTAAAACCGTTACATTATTCTTGCTGTTTTGATAACGGATGCATGTGACTATTACGTGCAAATGGCTATACTTTTTTTCTAATTTTGCTTAAAACTCAAATAGGTCCTGTATTTTAAAGCAAAGCCTTTGCTTTCTAAATCAAGAAAAGAAAAAAAAATTAACCTAAAAACTAAATCTTGCTGCTGTAATGGAATAGGAAAGCTGGCTGCACCACGCCACCAGTAGTAGTAGTAGTTCTGAGAAATTATGTACATTTAGAATGACGTCTCAGGTTGGCCCTATACTTTGAGGTTAAATGGTAGAGTAAGCAGGCAGAATAGGGTAAGATGTTCGTATTTTTATGTAGACACCAGAGACCCGGTATACTTATGAAACCATGTACATGTAATTCCTTTTCCCCCAAAAGTCATACCAGTACATCTCAACAGACTTGAGAATTCGAGATTTAACGTCTCTGTAACTACACACAGGGGAATAATAGTTATACAAATGTAGTTTTATGTTTTTGACGAAACTTTTCGTCATTGATTTTGTAACGCTAAGCCTTGTCTCATGGACGATCTTGCAGGCTCACATTGCCCGATGGACTAAGGCATGTGTTATTACACATGTCCCACGAAGCCCCGGCCAACACCACCAGGCCGGGATGGACGCCAAGGAGAAGAATGGCGGCTGCCATCTTCAGAGGCTTGTGGGTAAGTTCAGTAGCGACTTTGATACTGAATGAAATTCCTTTATTGTGAGTTTTTGCCCCAGGGGATAGGTAATTTCGTCTTTGCAGTTGTAGCATTTATAAAAAGGTCGAAGGCTATGACAATATTTGATCAGGTCTAGAAACAGACTATCAACAAAGTAATTTCAATACATGTGTTTTTTGCAACCTCTTTTGTCCGCATGTGGCTTGTCTTAGCAAATAAGTAGTGCAATGCTACTGTGTAAGTAAACAAGTACTCAATGTGGGCCAGGAAGGGACAAAATGATAAAAAAGCATGTTACTTGACAATGCCTGATGAGTTAATAACTTATGGTCTATAGTACTGTGGAACTTTCCTTTTACAAACTGTACCTGTGTGTGAATCTAATCCATCATTGTTTCTTCTCTGTGTTAGTTCGGATCGAACCAGACAATTGGGAGATAAATTCGGGGACCTGGGCGCGACACGCCCACCTACATCTTTCCCGAGGAGATTAGGTGGGTGATGCGCGCCCGGTTCCCCGACGACCCTGTGGTCTTCAGGGACAGTGACGTGGAGGAGCGAGAGGGGGTAAGTTTACATATATTTGTATATATGTATGTATGTTTGTGTGTGTGTATGTATGTATGTATGTATCTATGTGTGTCTGTTCCTGTGTGTGTGTCTGTGACTGCCTTGCTCTCTCCTTATCAGCTCTCCTGATCTATCTATCTGTTTACTTTCTGAAACGACTGTTTTATACTTTACGAAAACTATACTAGCGTATTAGGGCACTCCAAATAACTGTGTTTGAAGACTAGTATATGTTACCCTCATAACGACATCCCAAGACTGAGTCAATGTAGGGGATGATTTGACTTTCTGCAACAATTGAAGCCAAAAAAATGTTCTTATTATTCTGAGAAATTAGCAACACACAGTCAGTGGGTAAACTTAGAATGGAAATTATATCTTTCTCGTATCAAAAAATCCCAACAGATTTTAAAAACATGTCTTGTTCTCTTTCTTGTAAAGGTGTACAGAGTCGACGTGGTGGACTTGGCCACCACAACGTGGCCAAAGCTGCCGGTGTGAGGACGGCAACAGGACTCGTGGCCGGGGGAGGAGCCGTCGCCGGGCCACACCTCCCTACACCGCACGTCGCCAGTAATGTCTGAAAAAAGGAGAATGCAATGACACTGTTTGGAACTGTGGAGCCGTGGTGGTTTGGCAGTCATAGGGGCTTGGTCGGCCAGCCATTGCTTCTATGTACTGCCATTCCACTATGGCTTCACTTTCCAAACAGTTTATAGCAACATATAAATAAACGAAAGTAAACTTTATATGCTGTGTTGTATTATTCTCATTCCGGCGGTGGTACATGTACATGCCCTGCATTTCCCTTACTTAGTAATTTATTAGTTTTTTGTTAGTTTCAAGGTTCTGAAAAAAATGCGATAACAACACAAAAACGTAATGTCTAGCACTTCTGTTTTTTTACTTTTACAACACAGAGGTGATTTCAGATAACTTGATATTTGATACCATATAACTTGTTCTTAGAATTTTCAACAACCAACATAAATACATTGAAAACCAAACTTAGATCATTTGTAAATGAGAACATAGGTGTAATGGAGAGCGAGAAGAGAATATGTTGTTGATCGCTGTACGCTTGGTTATCCTCTGCCTGCAGATCAGCAAAATAGCCAGGGACATCGCAGAAACTCTTCCATAACGATTCCTTCTGTTTTTAAAACGTGCCAAAATTCTTATGGAAACAAATCTTAACTATGTTGGAACGATAAGAATGTAATTAGTGTCTAAATATGGACGT